AAACAGCTCACATCATGAGCACAGCACACACTACTGCCTGAGACAACGAGGTTGCTAGTGCTTCTGAACAGCCTTATGTAAATACTCCACGGGAATTTGCATCCAATTTTAAGGCATTTATATCTGCTCCCCAACTGGGCTAGTCATTGCAAAACATTTCTGGAAGAATCAGCGTCCAGTTGGGCTTGTTTGGATGAGATCACTCACCGAACAGCATAGACTGGGCTTGGTTAGGAAGAAACTCTTTTTGCTTTGGCAGTCCTTTCATCATTGATTCCGGGCACCCTGCTATGCGCAAAGCTACAGACAAGATGTACTGAATTATAGAGGTGAGGCCCTCATAGATTTGTTTGCCCTTTACAATAGATTCTCAGCACAGGGTTTACTCCTGGCTGACTGATCAGAAAGGGCAGGCTCAAACGATAGAGTTTCATGAAATAAGTGCGCTGGAACGGCAGCCAAAATGAAAATCTTGTGCTGAGGATGCAAGTGAAGGGAAATGGGAGTGCAATGCATCTTCTCTATTGCATGCTGGTTCCATGAAATAGGACATAAAATCGGCAAGCAGTATTCAAAGTACAATCTTCAGTGATAATTCCCCTTCATTCATTAACAGCCAGTGGCTTATCTCTGTAATTTTCATTACAGCCAGCTTCTATTAGCTGCATAAATATGCCAACTGTCTAGTTAGGGATTATGACTGGAAAGCTCCTCTATTCTTTCAGCAAATCTACCTGGAAGCATTTTCGAGTCTCATATAGCTAGCTTAATTATCAATATTTTAGAAGTTTTTGTCAGTTTAGTACAAAGGTGGATGCTATACAGCCATAAATTGAAAACTAAAACACAACAAAAACTATGTAGAAATATCAATCCAGCTCTGCCTTTGTCCTTTGTCAATATAGTGAACTGCAAACAGAGCTAACCGAACAGGAACCATCCAGTTGCACTGTCCTTTTATGTATCTGACAGTTGCTCTTAATAATTTTTGAACTCCATTATCAACTCGAAGCCAACTGTTCAGAAGCCTCCAAGCTCCTAAATTACCACACGCGTCATGAGACTCGGGCGTCGGGCAGAATATGGAGAACATTGAATGTTCTCACTGCAGAGAAAGCCATGGGAGCTCAGCCCTGAACCGCTGGGTCTGGCATTGCTGGATGGCCATTAAACAAGTAGATGGCTCTAAGTGAGCTTCATAACAGGCTGTGTCTTGCTCCCAGAAATAAGGAGAAGTGGAAGGGCATCTGGGTACTTCAGGAGGGCCTGGAGGTACTGAAGGATGTGAGACACCTTTGTATAAACTTGTCAGGTTATACTGAGGAGTTCACAGGGAGAAGGAGCAGCAAAAAGGAGAAGAAAGCTGTAGGACGTCTATTCACAAAACAACCTGGATTTCTCTGGATCTTACGCCTTCAGATTCCCTGGAAAATATGCTAGGCAAATGTGCACGAGAACAGGGCCTTATATGACTTCAGGAATGAAGTCTCTTTCATCTCTTCCAGATTTATAATTCTCCTCGGTGGTGTCTCTTGAGTTTGAGAATGAAAGATCTAGGAGTTACTGTAAAACTAGGTCACTTACAATCATCATGACATTTCTCTTCAGACTCCATATGCAGTTCCTATTGAGCTAGATGAATGGGGTAACAGGTCCTGCAAATATGGGTACAAGCCCTGCAAATGCGGGGTGCATATTTGGAGTCCATTCAGGTTCCTAGTGCAACACAAAGTGCACACAAAAAGCTGCAGAATCAGCTTCATATACATTCCTGTGGCTCACTGAGTAGGCAGATAAGACACTATTTTGTCCATAAATTGCTATTTTCTGTCAAGTTTCTAGTAACAGCTGAGATAAGAGTTCCAGTTGTCCATCCTGGAGCTGACTAATGCGTTAAGAACATTTATCACTAAGAACGGCACGTGCTCAAAGATGGAATATGGCACTGGGCCATCAAAGTACGGCTCAAAGCTGACAGACAAATACTCAAAGGAACTGTTGTTCTCGTGACATTGCTGATAGCATCATGAAGGCTGTGACATGTTTTGAGGGCTTATAATTGTCTGCACACATTTAACGGAACAACTAAACAACGTTTTGAGGAAGATACGCTCTAGCCACAAATGTTTTGAAGGTTTCCTGAGAATCTCTCATGAACAATTGCCAGTGCTAGTCTTGAAGTGGGCAGAGTATCAATAGAGCTGTGTTTCTTCCAGCTTTTTAAACCATTTCTTATTGAAATTATTGTGCCATCAAACAATCCATTATTCTCTTTCTGGTTTTTTACCCTGTGGTTAGTTTTCCTTTGAGAATCAGTTTGCATGGTCCATACAGAATCAGACAGCACTGGTAATATTAATTTCCAGTTTTCAGGTCTTATTTATTCTTTCCACAAGCAGCATGTTTGGGACAAGATGCCAAACAACATCACCACGGGTCTCCCAAGCACCCTGGTATCAGAATGTCAAAGTTCACTCCTGTCCTTTCCCTTTCTGCACCAAGACCCCCTTTCACCCCAGTGAACCTCCATGCAAGCTGGAGAGAGACATAAGGACTACACTGAATAAAAATATAGGTCAGCTGAAGAAAGGAAGCTTATTCAATGTTCTCCTTCTCTTTCTGGGCAGCCACTGCTCATGCGGCTTCTTATCCCCGAACATAATGGTGCAAAAATGTAACTTATCCATAAAATTTTGTATTTACCTACTATCCATTTCTGAAAAGGTAACTTCCAGCAGCTGTTACTGGTAGGATATGGTTTTGAGAGGTTAAGTGGAAGATCACCAAAGGCAAGGACAAAAGGAGAATTTAAGGAGCTGAAAGAATTACTTCTAATGAGGACATGGAGCTTCAGAAGGAAGCAAGAGAACAAATTGCTAAGATGCACTGAAAGATCTGAAAGATACCAGGCAGGTGAGAATTCTGGATACAGCAAGAGAGGATAAACACAGATATTGCAGGTGCACTGACTTCACCGAGCTGCTACGAGTATTTGACGTTTCTGAACGCAATCCTGGGTCGTGCTGCTGAAAGGTCCATTCATTGGAGCTGTATACTCTGCTGTTCTTGGTGTGAAGAACGATGTTCTGGAAGAGCTAAGTAATCGCCATCTAACACACAAAAAAGGCTTTTATGCAGACTGGGATGAATTCTTTTGTACTACATGTTTCTCTCCATTAAGTTTCTCTCAAAACGCTGGGCTCGGTACACAACACAGCAGTAAGACTTGAACTGATAATTTTCCATGGAGATTAGACTTTCCATTGCTCTGGTGATACCATGTTTCAGAATTAGCTGGGCTGGTTTTAGCAAGTGGATTTCCTACGGGCTGCAGCTCTATGGCGCTGCATTGAGGCACAAGGATGTGAGTCCTGCAGCTTCAACGCAGAGAGACTTTCTTTTTGTTCACATCCTGCTCCTCCCTACGGCTTTTAGGAATTGCTATAACAATCATAATAATCACTAACGTTATTTTACAATTCCCATTATACATATCTGAGAATTATATGTATTTTAAATAAGACTGTACAAAAATTAACAGAAAATACCTATGCAGTCAGTGGTCATACACTACTCTTGAAGCTCCTAGCAACCCCTTCCAGCTAAAAGACTATATTTTATTAAGAGAAATATAGAACCAGAAAAAAAAGTCTCCCACTTGACATTACATAGTAATAGCAAGGAAATGTATTAAATTGTTTCAAGTTCCTGAACTCCTGATAGGCAAAATGCGTGATGCTGATTTACAGAAGATGCTAACTACCCCTAACAATCAGAAAATTAGAGAGTTTACTACTATTCTCCCTTAGATGAATTTCAGAATAATCTCAACTTTGAAAAACAGTAATAAACAAATGTGCAGACTGTTTACAGCTTTGCAGAGTGCATGATTTTTGATAAGGAAAATTCCTCTTCCTTCCATTAAGGGAGTTGACTCCTAAGGAAACTATACATTTTGACTGGAACCCGAACTGTTTAGGCTCAGGATGGGTAAGTCACTCGTAAACACAGTGCAGTGTCTAGACAAAAAGAAAAAAGGTTCTGCCGTTGTTATGGATTTGCTCCAGGAGCTCCGTGCCGGAGCCCGGAAGCAATATTAGATCATGTGTTTGAGTAATACAAAACACAAATGACAGATACTAAAAAGATAATGAAACATATCCTTCAAACTGTAACACTAGAGAGTATTTGAATGGAATAACAATGCTCAGCACTCATAAAACTTTGCAGCTTTACTGTCTCTTTGGTAAAACGTAAATACGGTATGGAAACAAATCACAGAATATCCACTAGCAACTACATTTTCTAATGGCTTCTGGAGCACAGAAGATGAAAAGATCATCTTTCCTGTCTGTCTCGATTTAAGTGACCCATGCTTGATGAATATTGTTTACAACATCAGTATGTCAATAGTAATATGAATGATAAGCTTCAGATGTTTTTAATTTGCAGTTGGAGATATGTATACACGAGCCCATTTTAATAATTCTTTACATGCAGATAATAAATGCGTTTTTTACTCTACTGATTCTCTCATTGATTTAGGGTAGAGGTGTTCATATATCATTAGGCAATTCTTATTTACTGTTTGTTATGTCTTTGGATAAGATGTCTTGTTCAATTTAATATGGTAGCTCTGAGTAAACGCCAGAAGTAGATTTCATAAAATAAATACTAAAGAGTTCTGCCTAATCCTTTGTCAGGAGTGGCTCAGATTTCCTATTTCCTCCTGGAATTCGAACATAACACAAAGCAAGTCTACATTTCTTTAAAGCATGCAGGCAACTGAAACACATATTTGCGTAAGCTGCAATACTCGGTGACTGGCAAAAGCCATGCAAACCATGGAGCATGAGGAATATGCTGTGGATAATGGAGAGGGAAAAAAAGGAAAAGATGGAAAGGAAAAATATCCATGCATCCATGAAAGCAAGGGTGGGTATTGGTGGAAGAAAAAGTGAGCATCTCAAGGTGTAGAGAAAAAAAGGACAGATACCTACCCAAACCTGCGCTATCTAGCTACCGACCTGTGGACTTATAGTATCACCAGTTGGCTCACCAAATGGATCACTGTTGGATGAGGCCTGAGACCCATCAGGCTAGAATACAAGAACATAACACCTTTTTTTCTCAACAATAGCAAGTGAAAAGTCAACACAAGGTTATTTTCATGCTGTGGGCATAACAAGTACATCCTATCTCGTGAAAAACAGAACGAGACCTCACCGCTGATACATCCTCAAAAGCTTTATTGATTTCCTACAGCTGACACAGGCAGGAAAGGACCACTCTGGTACCTGCTGGAGTCCATGCAAAAGCTGCCACAGACTTCAGAATGTACTGGAGCAGACACAGCAGAATTGCAAAAGGCCCTGAAAGCCAATGAAGCTGCACGAATGAGAAAGAGTCCAAGCTTGGCCATTTTTGTTAATCTTTGGGTCTTTTAATGTACAGATGCCCACTTGTCTTTGGTTCACTTAGGCATCATCTGCCTAAGATACTTAGGTCTTAATTAAGCTACTTGGACAGCATCTCTTGCTTCAGTCTACTGAGTGTTAGAGAAAGAAACCGCATATCGAGGGCCAAGACATTGAGGAATTTAACTAAGCAAGCAACTGGGAGGCAAGAATGTCCAAAACAATCTCAACCATCCATGGTTTTAACACACAGACTTTCAAGTACATCTTGTTCTGCACTCACAGCATGTATGTTGCTTTACCTCAAACTCCCTTACCACCAAAAAGTGAATGTTCAAATGCTAAAAAGGACATCCTATACAACTGGTATATACAACCTCGTAAACAAAGGTCGTTTCCTTGAATGCAATATTAGTGCATATCAACATAAATGTCATACTGATGTTCTTAACTATTGAAATCCAATCTGCAAGTGAATTTTCTCCGCAACTCTTCCTTAAACACTTAATATATCACCCAGTTCTACTAGAAGAGTTACTTTTGACACTATCAAATCATGTTTAAGTAACATCTCCCTTTTTTTCTAGCCAAAAATGTTAATCAATAATTAGAAACCTTCTTGCTACTCACAGCCTCCTGCTCTTCACTTTTGCTTGGGCTTTCAAACCCCTCTTCAAAGACGTCATCTGCAGCAGGGTCACTCGTATGAGATGCTGATGATTTTGATGGAGAACTCTGTCTGGGTGCAGGGGTTGGAGCTAGAAAAAGATTAAGTAACAGCAACAGAATTTCATATATTTGGTTTCATTCAGCACTTTCCAAATTAGTTTCAGGTGCACCTGGCAACAGCTTTAGGAACCTGGGAAACGTCACCACATTACGTTAAGAATGTGTGAGCTGCCTCCTCTATGGCAGGTAAGAGAAATGTAAGGTTTCCTTTCGGCCCCTGGTAAATCTCTGTCTCATGAATTCCCCTTGTCAGTGACTTCTGCAATATCCCCCACCTCCATGGGCATGGGGATCTCCATGGGGATAAGCATATCCCCACAACCAGGATAAGCATATTTTACAGTCCTTCAGTGAATCGTCCCATGTGCAATACATCAAGCTAGAAGAACAAATACTCATCCCTTGATTGCTACCAAGTATCTGTAAGACCATTCATAAGGCTGTTACATGCATTTTCTGACCAGCCTGCATGTCCCTAGCACAGAAGATACATTACTATATTATTAGAAGTTAAATTTCAGACTGTAACCATTGAGGCTGTTGATTTCAATGGTCTCTGAAATTCATCTGTACCATTTTTCTTTAAGGCAGGAATACATTTAATAAGTTAGACCATGCATGAAGGTTCTAAGTCCCTATCTTTGTTCCAATTTATTGTACGAATGAAAAGAGTGAAACGCTGTGAGAAGCAATCACAATTGAGGAATGTTACAGTGTAAAGGGTACGGATACTCACGTGAATTTGTAGATGGTGTCGTGGAAGTCACAGGAGTCAAATTTAACTGAGAGATGTCAAAGTCATCACAATCATCTGCTTCCTGTGCCATCCCAACTTTATTAAAATAACTTGAGAAGGCCTCTGAGGTACAACTGAGGGAAGGCTGATCCGGTTTTCTTGATGGCACTGGTGGAGGCTGAGCCATCTGGAAATCTTTAAACATTTCTTTTCCCATTTTCTGTCTGGGCCTGTCTGTCTGTGGACTTGATCTGTTGGAATCACTTGTGGGTGGGACAGTAGCTATAGGAGCAATGGTACCTTGAAACATGGCTGCTTGTAAAGGCAAAACAGTTTGTGTTGGCATGAAGGCAGTTGGTTGGAACTGACCAGCTACAGATGGCCACGGTTGCTGAGTAGGAGGAAAAATACCAGGTTGGCCCCAAGCTATTGGTTGTCCTCCCTGCATCACCTGAGCGACTGGAGGCTGAGCACCCATGGCCAACTGCTGTTGAACAAGTGGTTGCTGTCCCCAGAAGGAGGGCAGAACAGCTCCCATGGCAACATAACCTTCAAATGATAAAAACAGCAGGAAAGAAAAAAAAAGAGAGAGATTAACATCATGTCAGGAGCACGCAGACTTAGCCACACAACAGCTCATAAACACACCAGGTACAGTAGCGAGGCCAGAGCTTCAGCACACTTGTAAAGAAAACTCTGAGCCATGGCTGAATTTATGTCACTGGATAAGTAGTTGGATACAAAAACAAAGGTGGGTGGAAATTAGCAACAATCCTTCACCTCATCCAAGCCTATAAGCACTTTTCTTCTTCTCAGTGAGTACCCTTGTGCATCTGGGAACACGTGTGGACATGGACCTCCTTGGCATGCCCAAAGCTCAGCTGGCATCAGTTTGGTCCAAGCATTTACCAGAACCACAGCAGCTCCCCTAGACATTTCCTACACGTACCTCGTAGCAGCACAACCCTGGTCCTCACCAGAGAGCTCTGCAGGCTCCTGCTGGAGCTCCTGCCCACTTGCCTACCCTGTCACATGCAGCCCAGGGAGCTGGGAAGAGCGAGTCCAATACCAGCCAACTCCCACAAATCTCTATCCACACTGCAAGTTTCTTGCAAGAGAAGGACCATCTCTAATGTGACCCTCTAGAAGTTACCACAAGTTTGACTGTGTACTAATGAAATGACGTAAAATTTGTTATTTACAACGAAAAGTAAAACACAAATCGAGAACAGTCTGTAACTAAAGCTAAGCTGTAGAAAACCTCCATACAAATTAAACCATGTAATGTCATGCTTCGCTGATACAAGTGTTATGCTTTATAAATATGGTGAGTTTCACATGTAAATTCATGATCTTAATGTACTGCTAATACTTTACAGCATGCAATTGCTCTCCTACCTTTAATGCTGCTGCAGCTTCAAAACCCCTGTTTCTAATCTGAGTGTTTTTTCTGAGCCCTTCTGTTTATATATCTCTTAGTTTTATTTACAGACTCTTTTGGAAAGCTAAATGTAAATAAGTAAATTTTAGAAAATGAACTTCAAAAGACTAATGAGAGGAATGGCAACTCAGACACATGCCTCTTCCAATCAATCGTTATGATGAACACTCCTGATGTTCTCATCTTGCACACACTGCGACCTCATCCAAGCAGTGAGGATTTTCCTCTGACATTATCCCAAGCCCTTCACCATCAATTTAAGTGGCTAATCTGAGAGTGCAACACAGCCCATCAGGGACAGAGTTAACCAATTAGGAAGTCACTCTTGAATGATTCAAGACACTCCTCTTTTTCTTTCTACCTAAATGGATCTGAGAGCTGTCCTTGCAGTGCTCTGAGTATCCCAAGGAGAAATCAGCAGTGAAAACCACATTTCTTTCCTGTTTGTGCAGAACATTACAGGGTTTTTGAGTTCTGAGCACTTTGAGAAACACAGAAAAGTCTAGAGGAAATACCAGGACTTAACTAAGTGGAACGAATACCTTTAAAAAGGAACCAGGTTCTTCACATTTCATTCTCATGTAACTGAAGACAGAAAAGGATATTTGCAGCTACTGCAAACAATCTGGAGCTCAGTGCTTTTTCTCTGCCTTGCTACAGTACCTTGTAGGCATGTTTACTAGGCAGCTGAACTGTGGCTGAACTCCCAGTGACATTTTGGGGTTTTGTTTTAGAAAATGTTAGTAAATTCAGTATAATCTACTCCCTGCTTGCTTAAACATTTGCTTTGCCTTGTCCTTCAGTTCCACCTGACTAAGCTCATGTCCTGAATATTGAAATACAAATCAGTGCTGAGAATTGATCCCCAAGCCTGCATAGAACCCTTATTTTCACTTGGTTTCCTACCTGAGGGTACGGCAGCAGTGCTGAAAGGTACAGAACCAAACATGTCTGTACTAGCAGGAAGTGGCTGGGATGAAGATGGGATAAAGGCATCACCTGGAGTAGCAGGAGTCTGCAATGGAAGACAGGAATAAAACAGCATGATGATGTATCAGCTTCTGCAGCGCATACTGTGCTGTCACATCCTCTGCAACTCCAAAAATGCAGGTGTGAAGAAAGAGAAAGGAAAAGAATGGAATGAGGTAGAAGGAAAGATGAAGTAGGAAGAGTATTAGAATGTGCTATAGACAGAGGACATCAGAGAAAAAGAGAAAAAAATGAGTCTTTGTACCAGAAGAAAAATAAAAATATCATTTGTCTGGATTATATTGCATGAAAAGTAGTGATGTGATTTCTTCCTCCAGAACCTATAGAGTTGTGATTCTAGGTGCTAGGTGACAACACTACAAGCACCAGATCTAGACATTGAAAATGATTCTGCTTTTTTACTAATTAATACAGAAAGACTATCGAGAAAATTTCCTCTTCCCTCAAAATGAATTCTTCCCTCATTCTCTTTATTGTTTTGTCCTTCCTCTGACAGTGGTACCGGGACATGTGCTTGGTGGAACCAAGCAGAGACGATATATAAGGATGAAACTAGATCTTCCTGCACTGCAATGGAGAGACGTGAGCTAAAGACAGTGTAATAGAGCACATAAACACCGTGGCAAGAGATTCGCAGTTCAGGTTGCATCTTATGTGACACCTGGTTCTGTATCAGAAAAACAAAAACTGACTATATTTTTGCACATCAAGAGGTGGTGATTCCACACTCATCTTGATTTATTTTCTCATAGGCTAGAACCACTTTGAAAGTGTCTCTACTGGAATGTGGATGACCTGGATTCTAAATGATCTAAGCATCTAAACAATGCTCAATAAAAATCCGGAAAACAGGACAGAGGATAACGACAGGGTTCAATTTTCCTGTATACTTACTGGGGGAGAGGTTATATCAGGAGGAGTGGACATGTCCCCAAAAAGCTCTAGTTGGGTAACAGCCTGTAAAGAGATGAAAGAAAGCTCTTATGAGGAGAAAAAGAGGCAAGGTAACCAGTAACAACTTTAAAACTAGCAATATTAATCCAGAAAAGGCAACATAAGATTCAAATGACTTGTGCAACTTGGAAGCGGCACATGGGTTTAGCTATGGAGTTTTGGTATAGAGGTCTCTACCCCAAAAAATTATTAAAGCATGAAGAAACCATCCAGAATGGGACTGGCTGTATTACTGCTCTGTCCTTAAAATCAGGAAGCACCAAGGTCAGCCCTTTCCCCTGGTTCTTTTCTAAATCCTTATTTCACGACGTTAAACTCAGTAGTAGACTGTGAAATGTGAAATGAGAAAGGATATAGGAGGGAAGGGTGTTAAAATACTGCTCGCTTTCCCCTTCCTCATGGGAAGGGTGCGACCTGGATACAGGGACTTGAAGGAGGATGCACAACTGGGTTATTCTAAGTTTGGAGCTCTACATTTAATTCATGCTGGAAATATTTTCTCAGGGCATTCTTCAATTTGATCTCAAAATAGGTCACCCATACAGGTCTGACTCAACTGGACCATAAGGGAAAAAAGCACTTTCATAATAAGGAACACCTTGAGTGGTTACACAATTAGAGCTCCTTCACATGTTCTAGACTCAATTTGCTCTCCTTCACCCATTAGGTCACCTGCCAAACTATTGGGATAAAAATCCTTGTATTTTGACTCTAAATTAGGATTAAATTTTAATTAAGTTTAATAAAACAGTGCAAAAGACACAGCTAAGGATGCAGTGCTCAGGGCAGCTCCTATTTCACAGGATCCTTTTCAATACAGCTTGATTTGCTAAACTCTGGTCTTGCAGCCATTATTTTAACAAGCACTTCTGATTGAGGCCCTGAGCGCTTCCAGCACAGGAGCAGTCACCGAGTGTGGCCAATCTTTGCAATTCGAAATCAGCAGCTCATGGCTAAACGACAGGGATGGGAATAACCAGGGAGGCTGTGCATGGGCACATACAAATCCGAGGGGGTGGCAGCAAGGGCAGCAACAGGCCCAGGGACGACGTCCCCCGGCTCTGAGCAGGGTCCAGCTGCAGTCCAGGACCAGGAAAGCACCCCTGGAGCTCCACGGAAAATGTAAAATGCATCTACCTTCCCACTGGGGTGGCTACCAGGGGAAAGCTGTGATGGGCCCTGAACTCTTTCTCCTGTTTATGTGTTTTTCCTTTTCCCCGAAATTGTCGTAAATCATGCCCATCCATATAAGAACAAGGAATGAGATTTGATGCACATTTTAATTCTGCTCATTGCATCTTTGGTCCAACTTTGCAGCCCCCTCAGTGGCACACAGACCTTCTCTGGAGGTCTTCAAAACCCGCCTGGATGCCACCCTGTGCCACATGCTCTAGGTGTGCCTGCTTGAGCGGGAAGGTTGGACTAGATGATCTGTAGAGGTCCCTTCCAACCTTGAATATTCTGTGATATACAGCCCTGAAATTCGGCTGAGTCTTGAAATGCAAATTTAGCCAGCATTTGTTTGGATATATCCAATATTTGGATAATGAATGCACTGGCTGATCAGTCTTTATAAAAGGGGAGGGTAGCCCCATTTCTTTGCCATAAATGATCTTTTAAGAAATAAGACTGTGATTAAAATGATAATAATTTAAAAGGCTTACATACTTTTGCAATCTAGCCTTTGTAGCTGTTTACAAAAGCACTGTTACAGTCACTTAGACCTTAAATTTATCTAGCAGCTTGGATGATTCTCAGCTCTTTGTCTAACAAGGCACCTAGGGATGAATTATTTCACATTTCCAGACATGATGCATTGTATTAAACAGATCACATTGCTCTAGTGATAGGACAATATTTTTTCTTCTTATGGGCCTTATATATCCCAGAGATATGCAAGTATCTCTGCAAATGGAAGAAGGATGCCCGAAGCCACAGCTCCCCTGGCACCTCCTTCCCTCTGCAAGGGAGAAGGGAAGAGCACCAGGATGGATATTCAAGGAAAGGGCACACGTGGTTACATGGACCAACAGCTAATGCCTTTAAAGTTCATTTTTTTAAATGAAAAAAAGGTCATGCAACATTTCATATCCATTCTAAAAATTGATAGTGAATATACTTTTGAACTCAAAATTATATGGCATGTATTTGAAAGGTGGCAAGTCAAATCTCTATGCTTCAGTAACTCTCTAAAATGGGCATAATAATACTTTCCAAAGTGCTTCAAGGTGATGGATCTCTGAAAATCTTTTGCAGATATAATTCCATTAGAGCTCTGGATATAGATGTGCTTTTATTCAGTAGTAATATTTGAGATTCTGGCAACCGTTTATTTTTGTGATCTCACTGTTACTACAGAACTGAATTCACCCATTTCTTAATTATTCACATCTGAAATTAACCACATTCCACTTAAGCGAATCCCAAACCGAACATTTTCAAATTGCACTAAGCTTATAGGTGATTTCATCTACATTTCCTTAAAATAGTTGTAGTGTGATAACCTTACCTGAGTGACTGAAACAAGATTTTCATCAATGTCCAGCAATAAGTTTCCATTCTGCAGCTGTAAAGCATGATTTATGAAATGAAATGAATGATTTATGAAAATGACAGGAATTTCTGCACGTGAAAATGATAACCTCCATAATTATTGACCTCACTATTGAAATGAAAACCCTCTCAATCTTTCAGAAATAGAAAATCCCATAGTGAAAATGGTGAATTTGAATGCTGTTGGGATGGGGCAAACAGGCATTTGGGCTAAATTTAAGCTTCTGGTATATAAAGCAATGTCAACACTTGCATTCTATCAGTTTATTCTCTTAGGTATTTTTGAGTTCAGAACTAAACATTCACAGTAAGGCCGAGTCCTATGCACCTTAATGAAATGGTTCAGTGATTGGCTCAGAAAAAAAGTCCTTAGCATCCTCGGAGGAAAACAAAAATCATGTATTGGAGAAGGAAAGCTCTAAAAGTATCTGCAGGAAAACATATCTTTCACTGTAACATCATTTCAAGTTATATTTCAATCCTTAGATTTAGTTTGTGTGTCTGTGTACATACAGGTGCCTATGAGTACACTGTATTTGCACATGTACACATACCTATACAAAAGTAACAAATTATTACTTAAGAGTTCTCAGGACGTTAAATCTCGGATACCATTTATAAAGTGTACGGGACTGTATTTCTTAAGAAACAAGCACAAATAACAGCAATTATAAGAAAAAAGACAGATCTCAGAGGACTAGCTGAGGAGCTTCATATAAATTTATCAGTCATTAGCCCAATGGCATCTGAAATGAAAAATCTTAAAAAGTCCCAGAAACAGCACAGACTCTTTACTGTCCCCTTCCCGGTTTCATCACATATTTAAAAGGAGAAAGAAATTAAAAGAGAAATGTGGAAAAAGCAAAGTTAGGAGAAGAAATAGCACTGCATGTGAGCAGGAGACCCGTATCCTTTCAGAGGACAGAGCTCTCGCAGCACTTCCCTGGTGCCAGGAATGGGAAATGTGCAAATCAGCCCATCCTTGAGCTCACACCAGAGAGGTTTGAGACCTTCAGGAAGCTTCATTTGGACCAGACATCCCTCGCTGGGAATGCCAATTACCCCGCGGTGCCCGAGCTGCCTCTAGCTCGTGCTCTGCATCACGCACTGCAGAGGAGACACATCCAATGGGTACCATGCCCATGGAGACACATCCAACGGGTACCATGCCCATGGAGATACGTCCTATGGGTACCATGCCCATGTCTGCCGGGGCATGGAGCAGCCTCCCACCCTGGGAATGCACTCGGCCTTCCCTGTGCAAGGCAGCAACGCTCTCCCTAGAGCATCATCTCAAACAACCAGGAGCCTGGATGGATGTTCAGCTGCTCGAGCCTCCTGCAAAATCGTTGCCTGCGGATTCCTCCCCATAGTGGTGTAAAAAACATCTTTCGTTATTCATTATTCAGAAAATTCCTCTTCAGTAGGAAAGCACCCTGGCAGCTCAGCCAGCCAGGAACACACAGGGCGCTTGTGCCCAGCTGCACGGGCGGAAGGCGGAGAAAAGAGCATTAATCCTTGTATGTTGGTGGCATTAACGCGGATAATGAAAGCGCCACGTCTCTACACAGGCATGTGAGCCCCACTGTAAATCTTTTAAGCAGGAAATATGTAAATCTGGCACCTTAAAGCAGCAGGAAGCTGTTTAAACCACTCCGGGCAGTAATGAAATTCCTGGTGACACTTTTCATTACTTAGTAAAGTGAGACAGTTGCAAGAGTTGGAAAAAATCCCCATGGGAAGCACGAAAGTAACAGTAAGATGCAAGTAAACTGCACCATGTATATACCTAAATAGACACAGATTTACCTCCACTACAGGTTTTGCACCAACTGCAAGAGACCACAATAAAATGCCATTTTTTTAACCAGAAGTTGGAGGTTTAAAGGAAAAATCTAAGACTGGCCTATTGCCCTCGTGAGACCACAAAGCACCTTGTTCTTTTCACCGCTGGATGTAACAACGCTCAGTTCTGATGCTCAGTCTGGTTTCAGCAATGGATCTAAGCTGATTCAAACCTGGAGAAATCCTCCTTAATATTCCTATATTTCTGCAAGTGAGATGATAAAGCAGTATCTCACAAAACATGGGAGTGAAATCTCAGGGACTATAGAAAAGCTGGTGCTCAAAAAGAATGTAAAATAACACACGGTAATTATCTTGTACTCGGCTATAAAGCTCGGCGAGTTAGAGTATAGTATGATGATAAATATAGTAATTAAGCGGCAATTAGTAATTAACCTTTGAGTTGGGCGTTACCCAGCCAAGCCTGGGAGGGCAGCAGAGGGAGTTAACCTCGGCCTCTGTGTTCTGGGTGAGCGCCACTAGATAAAAGCAGGACCATCCAGCCCTGCTGCTCCTCTTCATTTGCATTCCCTGTCTCTAACAGGCACCTTCCACTGGAAGTTCAACGACAAGTCAAGAGGTTAATGTGAAAACTAAAGATCTAGCGTTATTTTAGTTGAAAATTCAACTATTTTTGGCTGTGAATTTCCATTTTTTATTTGATGGTTCACTGACTTCAGTGGTTAAACCAAAGCTTCCATTATTTGTACAACCTGATACACAACAAATATTGATATTACTATGAGCTCCGTGAGCTCTAGATGGGTTATTAATTAACTGAAATTCATTAAAAAATTATTAGAACTACAATTACAGAGCAAGCCAGAAGCATGAACAGAATGACGATCAGTTGAACCATATCTAGGAGGTCAAAACACACTGAAAATATTCAATAAACTTTGCTCTCCTCTAAAACTCCTGTTGGTTTAATGGATTAAGAGTTTCTCTTTTTAGTTTCACTGCATAATCTTTAGTTTTAAACAGTAAGGAGCATTCTTCTTCAGGTAGCTTTTTTTTACACATTTTTTCTGTGATGGAAACCCAAGTCCTGACCCGGGTAAGATGCATTAACTATAGTGCAACTCACACTGTCCTATTTCCTTTGCTTTTCCCCTGGATGTGCTGGTAAAAAACGCTGTTGTTAGTCAATACTGTGCAGCTAAAGAGGTGACAATGTAGATAACTGAGAAATGCTTGAGCAAACTGCTTTGCTGTTTCCTTTAAATAAAGGGCATCTTCAGATAATTAAAGCATAGGTGTACTCATTTGTTTTCTCTTTTCATTTGAAAGGAACTTAATTCTGAATTCTCCGTGTGCCTTAGGTATTTACTTTCATAGGGAACAGCAGTTCAAACGTTTCAAGTAGCAGTTTTCCCTGACAGACACCCATCAATCAGACTTCCATAGGGCCGACTGCGGCATGAGGTCCCTAACAACTTCTTTCTCTCTCCGCTTATTCTTCCAGAGTAGGAGGGAAGAAAGTCCAACCCTTGCTGCTTCCCAATCGAGATGCTTAATGCTGGTGCAGAGGTGCTCGGCCTGCAAAGTTTAATAAGTTTAATAACCCCTAAATATTACGTATTAACAGTGGATTAATTCTAATATCTAACCCTCCAGCTTGTTGGAAACCAGATTCTGAATGCAAATCTGTTTTTTTGTATGGATCCTTGTTTGCAAAGCCCTTTCTAATGCAAGGCCAGTTCCTTCCCAGAGGCACAAACTATTACATTTCCACAAATAAATACTGCCTCTCAAGGTTTGCTTTCCCTTCTTAGCAACATACCTGACATTTCCACAAATATTGTCTCTGCTGAATGTAAATATCATTTCCCTGTGGTAATATGCTTACCAATAAAGAAATGTTAACAAATGGTTGAATGAAAAAAAACCATATATTTACGGTATCTAAATCGATCTCCAGAGCACAAAATAAGACAAATATAACTGCAACTGAAAAATATCCCCCCAGAAATAACCCCCTCCACCACTGGATTATGAAAGAAGTTCTCCATGGCATGAATATGCAAGACAAGGAAACTTCCCTGGAAGATCTGCTTTTCACCATAACAACAATTTACTACACCCATCAGGAAAAACATTCAACCATCCTTTGAATAAGATATAGGCAAATGACCTAAATAAGAAGACCTATAGGCAAGTAAGGAGAGATGGCAAGGAAAGAAAGGTCTCTGCGGGAGGTGAGTCGAGACAAGCAACAGGGGGAGGCCTCAGAGGCAGAAAGAGCAGGCAAAAACAAAGTCCAGCCGTGACCGATACCAGTCAATCACATGCATTATACGCCTGCAAAATAAAATGCCAGAAATAATGCGGCATCTGTGGAAACGCACAACTGGTAAAGAAACCGAATTAGTTCTATCAGAGAAAGCTGGTTGCAATTAGTAACAATGTGTTTATAAAACAGCCTTTTCTAGTTTTTTCTATTTGTTAGAGCAACTTTTATTTCTTAGTTTTTATTAAGAATTTTTATTAATGTTATTATTTATTTCTTAATTGTAATTTCTTCTTTTTCAAATGTTATATTTAAATCAAGAAGGCTTATATTTAAGTCAAGAAGAGGTATAACATTTTACTGAAGATTTGGTTGGAATTTGTAATTGTACTCTTTTCAAGGTCTTTGGATAGAGTTTAAGTACTACTGTACAAAATTAAAGGTTTAGCACTAGGAGGGAGACTTCAACAGGAATGTTCTTCACAACGAAGCAAGCAAGAGGCCAATATAGAAGAAGGGCTGTCCCTTCTTGCTTTAATGAGCAGTGTTAATTAATTTAGGGAACTAAAGTCTCGTGAATGGACAGTTTTTTGGACATACATAAAATTTCCTGGAGGGACACAGTGCTCACAGAGGTTCCTTCAGGATTATGCTAGAGCCTCCTGCTAAATCAACCCTTTCTGAGCATTATGTTGCTCCTCCTCTACATAATTCATACATTAATCCTTATACCAGGGTAACAAAGTCAAAAAAAAAACAAAAACCAAAAACAAAATGAGTCTGGCTTCCAGACTTACTTCCAATAAAACCCATTATCTTTCAGTTGTAAGGGTAAGCGGCATGTGAGAGCATCTGCTTCATCCATTATTTGATTAAGAGCTATGCAGTATAAAAGAAATATCAAATTACAAGGAAAATGATAAATACCCAGACACACA